ACACACACACACACACACACACACACACACACACACACACACACACGTGTCCCTGGACTCTGAAGGGATAAAATCACCCTGAAGAAAGCAAAGGATTTTTAGTAGGATTATTTAACCGCTTTCCTTTTAAAAACAAAACCAAAAAAACTTTTTATTAAGGCAAAGTTACAATAAAAGGTTAACATACTACATTACTTATCCCATCAGTATTAGAACCTAGCTAAACCAGAATCTTTCCTTTGTTTTTAACAACTATTTTACAATGTTGCCAACTCTCACAATTGCATCATGAGGCTTGCAATCTTTGGTGCATTTCTGAAAGTCCCAGCTCCTGGATTCATGTTATTCCACGAAAGTCTCAGCTTTCAGTTATAAAAATATAGGAACGTAGGACTGGAGGGGCCCTTCTGGGCCAGTGAGTAATCCAGTCCCCCTGTTCTCGCAGGCAATCCCATCATATAATCCCATTCATGAATTTATCAAGCTCCATTTTAGTATTAATTAGGTTGTTTGCCCCCACTACGACTATTGAGAGGCTGTTCCAGAACTTCACTTCCAATTTCCAACCTAGATTTATTCATGGCCGGTTAGTTGCCCTGTTGGTTTAAAAGGAAAGCTTGCAAATTTGACCTGATTGTATCATAAACGTTCAAAATGTAGAAGGCAAATAAAAAAGCCATCTATCTATCTATCTAACTATCTATCTATCTATCTCATGATCTGCAAGGTAATCTCATGATCTTGGGAAGGACCTGACTCATGGTTTTTGAAGATTTGGGGTTTGTTGTGCTGTATTCAAATCCAGTGAAAACTGAACATTTGGGAGAAAACATGTCTTTGTTAGTGGTCCGACACACTGCTTCTTCAGCGAATATGTGAGAGCTCACAGTTCACATGTCTCAGGCCTCCAACTTCCAGCAAAGCTCGGGTGCGTCTGATTCAGACGTCCTGATATTGCTCAGTTCAGAAAAAGCAGGAGAGGTGGATTTTTAAAATTGAGGTTTCCTTTATACATCATTAAAAAAAAAAAGCACAAACTCAATGTTAAAACATCCCTTTGCAGGTGACTTTGAAGAATGAGGATCGGCGCGCGAGCAGCGACTGAGAAACACAGGACGGGTAGCGAAGACTCTCCATGTGTGAGGGTAGAAAGGAGAATGAGACACCAAAAAGCATCGCCGCCCTCTGGTGTGAACCCCATCCCCCAGCCACCCAGTGTGGGTCCCTCATAGGTCCTTGGGGTTAGCCCCATGCCCCAGCAGCACCCTGGCATGATCCCCCCTCATGTCCCCCTGGTATGATCGCCCATAGGACCTTGGCTCAGGCCCCTCACCCAAGGGGGCCTCTCTCCCTGTTTCTGACCCATCCCTCAGGCACCTGCCCCCAGCCTGGTATCTGTTGCCCCAGGGGACCCCCCTCACCAAGCGAGCAGGCAGTGGACAAGTTTGGGTGGAGGCGACACAGTGCTGCCCCTCAGACCAGTTTGTTTGGGGCTCAGCACCCCCTCCGGAGGGGGATCACACCCCAGCTGCATCCCGGGGGCCCAGCCCGGCACTCCAAGCAGCACCAGTCTCCTGGCACCAGGAGAAGCTCAACTGGGATCCACTCTCCATCCTGGGGAGCCCAACCCAGGGCTCAGCTCCATCCCTCACCCCCGGGTATAGCCAGAGGGAAGCAAGAGAGTGATGGAGTCACATGGGTTGGGGAATGTCTCCTCCCCTCCTTCAGGATGGGGGGGAAGAAAGTGACCCACCCCTGAAGCAGAGAAAGCGGGTGGGGCTAAAATGGGGCTCTGGTGTCCCCCCATTGAATTCACTGGAGTAGGGTGTAAAGGGGCCACCTTTTCCCCAAGACCCTCCCTCCCACTCATTCCTCTCTGTCCCCTCTCCCTCGTCGCTCACCCTTGCGGGGTGGGGGGGAGGCCAAAAGTTGGGAGGGTGGGCGGGGGGAGGCCATAAGAACATAAGAACGGCCATACTGGGTCAGACCAAAGGTCCATCTAGCCCAGTATCCTGTCTGCCAACAGTGGCCAATGCCAGGTGCCCCAGAGGGAACGAACAGAACAGGTAATCATCAAGTGATCCATCCCCTGTCGCCCATTCCCAGCTTCTGGCAAACAGAGGCTAGGGACACCATCCCTGTTCATCCTGGCTAATAGGCATTAATGGACCTGTCCTCCATAAACTTATCTAGTTCTTTTTTGAACCCTGTTATAGTCTTGGCCTTCACAATATCCTCTGGCAAAGAGTTCCACAGGTTGACTGTGTGTTGTGTGAAGAAATACTTCCTTTTATTTGTTTTAAAGCTGCTGTATTTGGTGACCCCTAGTTCTTGTGTTATGAGGAGTAAATACAACTTCCTTATTTACTTTCTCCACACCAGTCATGATTTTATAGACCTCTATCATATCCCCCCTTAGTTGTCTCTTTTCCAACCTGAAAAGTCCCAGTCTTATTCCTCTCTCCTCATATGGAAGCCATTCCATACCCCTAATAATTTTTGTCGCCCTTTTCTGAACTTTTTACAATTCCAATATATCTTTTTTGAGATGTGGCGACCACATATGCACGCAGTATTCAAGATGTGGGTGTACCATGGATTTATAGAGAGGCAATATGATATTTTCTGTCTTATTATCTATCCCTTTCTTAATGATTCCCAACATCAGGCTGTGTTAAGGAAGGGAATGCAAACATCCTACTGCCATGATATAGGATATGTGAACCTTCCCTGAGTATGGTGTGTGTTCTGAGTGCAAAAACAGAGAGAGTGCAGATAAAGACAGGAGATGGTTGGGGATCTGAGGAGAGATTTCTATATGGGGAGATGCTGAAAAGACCAGGGCAGTTTATCGCAGAGAGGAAACAAGTGAGGGGCCAGTGAGGGATGAGCAGAGTTGGGGGGCTGGAGCTCTGCTGTTCAGAATCAGCCTGGCTCAGCGTTCAAGGAGAAAAGGAGCCAGGTCTGGTCTAGGTGCTGGAACTGGGGGTGCTCACTTGAAGTGGTTTCCATGTAGGGTGACCATACAACAGGTGTGAAAAATCGGGATGGGGGTGGGGGGGTATTAGGAGCCTATATAAGAAAAAGCCCCAAATATCAGGACTATCCCTATAAAATCAGGATATCTGGTCACCCTATTTCCATGATATACAGGGTTTACAGTTTGGTTCAATGGCTTTCAGCACCCCCACTGTACAAAATGTTCCAGCATCCCTCTGGTCCCTGCTCTACCACAGCCAGGCAGAGGTTTTGCAGCAAGAGGACTCTAGTGATGCTGAAGGAGGGGAGGCTGGTCTCTGTTAACTGTCTGGCTTGAGCTTCCTGGGTCAGAGGCTGTAGTGGCTGCATCTGAGCCCGGGCTGAGCCGCAGCTGCTCCCCAGCGGGGTCTGTGCGGGGAGAGACCTGCATTAACCCCCCTCTGTGCCCAGCTGGGGGACTTTCTGCGGTGGCTGGAACCAGCCCCTGGGGCAGCCCCGGGCTCTGCCGACACCAGCCCCTGAGCCGGAGCCTGCAGGTGAGGGGAGAGACCCGGGGGAAAGGGCTGGGGCCGGGCAGGAAAGTGACTCTGCACCAACGGCCCCTCCTTGTGCCAGCTCTGCTCCCAGTGGTCTGCGAGTCCCAGAGCTGCTGCCTCCCAATCCGTGCACTAGCTAAGAGCTGTGGTCTGGGTGAACCGAAATGTAACATGCAGAGAGCAGTGAGTCTCCATGGGGTTAGGGGAGGGTGTGAGCAAGGAATGAGAACTGTAACCATCAGTGCCCAGCATAACCTATGGGAGACTGGAGCAGCAGTGCTGGCTTGATGAGCTGCCTGGGACTGACTCCTGGCGCAGCCAGCTCTTCTTGGAGCATAGCTAAGGTCCTGCAATCAACACATCCAGGGTTGGCAGGATGGCTCTCTGCTTCAGGCACTGGACTGGGACACCTGGGTTCTGTCCCTGGCTCTGCCACTGACTCTCTATGTGACCTTGGGGAAGTTGCTTAGTCTTGCTCCATGCCTCAGTTTCCCCCTCCGTAAAATGGGGATGTTAGTACTTCATCTCATCGCTTGGATTTAAATAGTAAACTCTTTAGAGCCCAGGCTGTCTTGTCCTATATGTCTGTACTGTGCAGCCATGGGGTGCAGATCTCCGTGGGGGTCTCTAGCTGCTACCGCAATGAGCTCGATAACTGTGCCCCTCTCTTCCCCAGAGCATCCTGCATCCTTGGACATGGCTCTGGTTTCTACAGCTGCGTCTACACAGCCCATAGCACTGAGCCTTCCAGACTGGCTCGACAGATTCGGGCTAGCAGGGCTCACAAAAATAGCTGTATAGCCAGTGCTTTGAAGTTGTCTAGGATTGGGGGTGAAGGTGGGCTTCAGAGCCTGAACTCCAGCCCAAGCCACAACTCCAACACACTGTCTACACGGCCATTTCTAGAGCAGGGCTCACACTTGCCCAAGTCTCTCAACCCAGGCTGGGAGACTTGCTGGCGCAGGCTGTGTAGACATACCCTACAGCCACAGAATGTGGATTTACACCAGAAATGTGCTGACCCACCAAACCCCCATTGTGTGGCCATCTCTCCCTAAATAGCACTTCCCTACTTTGCAGGGGTGTTGTAAAGATTGTGGGGGGCTCAGATATTACAATAATGGGGCTATCTGGGTTGTCTAACAGATTGATATAGCGGAGAACTTCTACAAGACACCCTCCCCCCCGCCCCCCCCCGGCAAATGTTTTCT